TTTTTTTGGTTTTTCGGTTTTTCTCCGGTACCAGGAACCGAACTCACGACCTTGCGCTTGCCAGGCAAGTGCTTTTGCCGCTGAGCTAAATCCCCAGCCTCCGACCCATGTATTGTTTAGAATTGTATTTCTTAATTTCCAGACATTAAAGTGTTCTGATTATCTTTGTGTTACGACTTTTTAGGGTTAGAGAGCAAAATCTGTATTATTTCAAGAAATTCTTTAGAATTGGTTAATATTCCAAGTGCAGTTTTTAAAGAATGTGTATTTTTGAAGTTGATAGGTACAGTGTATAATTAGAACATGTGTAATAATATTGTTCAGATGTTCTATATTTTACTAATTTTTTTGGTTTACTGGTTCTGCTATTAGTGAGAAAATAGTTAAATCTCACATTATTGTTAGGGATATTTATTTCTCTTTTTGGTCTTTTGCTTCATATGTTTAGAATTATTTTATCTTCATGGTAAATTGAACTATATCATGCCTTTGATTGTTAGGAAATGTCTATTATAAATGCCTTTTGTCAGTTATTAATATATTGATATAGTTTTACAAGCTGTTTTTTTGTCTATTTCCATTATGTTTTCCCATTATTTTTCCTTCCCACTTTTCCAAAGTCATATATTTAAAGTATCTCTTATAACAGCAGATAATTGAGTTGTTTTTTAAGTAGTTTGATCATCTTATTCATCTAGTGATCCTATTTATATTTAACTTAAAATTTATTTTCTTATTATTGCTTTTTATTTTTTTCTTGCCTCCTTTAAGTTTCATTTTTCTTTCTTTTTTTGCCATTTGTTTTTGTTACTCCGTTTCTCTCTTTTGTTATTTTAAAGATTATTCTCTTGGTGTTGCCCTGCGGAGTACAACAATTATCTTGAACTTACTAAGTCTTCTGTAAACTAGTAGTTTTACTCTTCCTGAGCAGTTCCACAATTTTACGTTATTTCAGTTCTATAATTTCCATTTATTTTTCTGTTATTTTTAATTCTCTCCAAAAATTGTTGATTTTGTCTTTTAACTCCTTGAAGCATGGTTATGTTAAAGTCTGTGTCTGGTATTTACGTTATCTGTATCCCTTTCTAGATTTCTTTCCATTTGTTTGTTTCTCTTGACTTTTTGAGTAGGGTATCTTGGCACCTGAGTGGCTTGTGGTTTTTGTTGCTGCTGCTTTTTGTTGTTTGTTGTTTCTGTTTGTTGTTGTACTGGAAATCCAACCTAGGGCCTGTGTCTGCTCTACCAAGGACCTACATCCCCAGCCCCTGTCTGGTTGTTTTGATTGGATGCCAGACACTAAGTGAGAAATTATATAGAGGTAATTTTATTATTTTATGCCTGTGCTGTCCATTGTTGTTAACAGCCAACCGCCACATACAACTATTTACATTTAAATTATATAAAATTTAAAATTCGGGTCCCTGTTGCACTAACCCCATTTCAAATGCCCAGTAGCTGTGTCTGTGATCCTTGGCACTTGTCAGAAAAGACAGTGTTTTTGTTCCCACAGAAAGTTCTGTTGGCCAGCATACCACTCCCGGATCTTCTCTTTCACTAGGGAGGATTTGCTTTTACTTACGGCCCTGTAGCACTAGGACTCTCTGATGACCTTAATCCGGTCAGCCTGGGCTTCAGCCCTTGCGAAGGATGATACACTTGTATTTATCTTTCAGCCTTAGGGTATAGCCCTATGAGATGACGAGCTAAAGCTGGAGGATTCCCTCAACTCTGGTGTTCATTTCTTGAGAATGAAGCCACGCCCTGCTTCCTCAGCCGTACATTTAGAATGAACAGGTTCATGGAGGAGAAACAGCCCAACAGCCTGAATGCAAGCTCCCTCTCCAGCATCCCGTCTCTTCCTTATTTTGAGAACTTGTGGTTCTTCCCTTGATTCTCCATGCATTCAAACAGATTTTTTAAAAATATTTTTGTCCCTAGACTTTTTATTCTTAGTTTTTAAGTTTTTAAAATTCTATCCAAAGTAGAATCTGTCCATGAATGATATATTTAGTTAAATATTTCAGTCAGTCTAACAACTAGCCTTGTAGGATACTTTCACATGGTTCTATGCTACTTCATCTATAATTTTGTGATCAGTATACTTTGTCTCTTTATTTAAAAACTGAGCAAATACGGGTTCAAAGATACAGAGTAAACAGTTAGTTAAGGAGGATGACACTCAAACCTAGGTTCCCAGGCCCTGGACCCTGTGCCTGCTGTGTGGGCTCATGCCGCGGGCCCCGGCCTGCATTTCAGTGCGTCACGGACGCTCGATGCGGGCATGAGGCAGGTCCAGACTGACCGCTCAGGCCAGCCTGCAGCCCCCTGTCTCCTTTAAAATGAATTGAAACCGAGGCTTCTTGTCAACCCTTAAGATAAGCAAGCGCCCTGATAGTAAAGGTAGTTTAGAAGAACTCATTCTAAAAATTATATAAAGTCTATTTATTGATGAAACGATATTTTTCATTTCTTTTCCAACTTTCTATTATGTAGCTTAATTTGAATTCTGTTAACTTTGTTCTTTTTCTTCCCCAAGATAACTGCTAAAATACCAAGCACGGCAGTTACTAGACCTATAGCTACTGGATATGGGGTAGGTTTTTATAAGCTGAAAATATTAAGATGCATTTTCTTATGTATAAGCTCACGGTAAGCAGTTCTAAGTGGTTTGGGCTGTTTTTAAGTTCGTGACCCAGATCGATTTCCCATTTTGGATAGTTACAAACATTAAAAAAGTCATTTGATTAACACCTTTAAACATTTTAGTCTTGATTTGCAAGTCTGTTGGAAATATTACATTACCCTTTTCCATTTGTAGACTTTATGTTTGTTGATTCACTTCTGTTTATTTTCTACATCATATAACCAAGTCATATGTGTTTTCCATTCATGTATTTTATGTGAAGCTAAATGTTATTTAAATTTAATGGTATTTATAATTGTAAAAAAACAATTAATAAGTGAAAAAATAAAATTTAAGGGAAGTGTTTCAGAGTCATATATTTGGGTCTTGCCTTAAAGACCTGTGGAGGAATGCTAACTCTAAAACACTATAAAAATAGTAAACCTTTTAATCTTGTCCCAAATTACCTGCATTTTGGATGGTTTTGCTTGTATAAAATAAGAAAGGTGAGGCAGAACAGTGAGAGAATGGGGTAGAACAGCATTTCTTAGTCCTCATGGTGAAATTACCTAAGGGGTCAGAAATGGCTGGAGAACCTAGAGCCCCAGGCACCTGCTTCCATCATGTGCTTTGTGAGAACGAAGCCGCAGCCTTCTGCACTGCATAACCAAGTGCATCATGGGAATCATGCTTTTATTAATTGGCCCAAGTGTGTGCCACTCATAAGCTTGCTTTTTGATGCTGTGCAGAAGGATCAGTATCTTAGGCAGTGCAGGCCCGATGGTCTTTCTGTCCATCCATCCCTGCATTTGTAATGTAAGGGCAGCCAGACAGCGTGGAAGTGGATTCCAGTGGACCTTCATTTACAGGGTGTGAGTTACAGTTTGCCTACTTGTGTTTTAGAGTCTGGGCTCATATCCTCAGGTGATAAATGGGAAAAAATATGTTACTCAATGACAGGATGAAGAAAACAATTATGAAGAAAATATTTGTAAAATTAGAGGTGGCTGTTTTTAGGTATCTTTTTGATGTACTTTTCTGTTTGCTAGTCCAAGACATCCTTAATGTCATCAAGGGGAAGACCAGTGACAGGAGCTATTCAGGTACCTGTGTCACCTGTTGAGTTTGTACCTTTCTTATGACTTAGAATTTATTACCAAAGTTTTTCCCACTTTATATTTTCAAATGTTAAATAAAATGTTACTTTTGCAGTGATTATGATTCTTTAATTTGTGGGCTATAGTTTGGGCTCTTCTAAATATTTGGAGGCCGCTCTCCTTGGGTTTACTCAGCTCTCAAGATAAACCCCACCGGGGAGTGGACAGAGAACTGACAGTTTGTTTATGTGCTGTGTCAGAAGCTGCTTTCCCCTGTGCTGCCATGTACAGCAGTTTCTGTGGTTTCTCTCAGGAGCATATTGAACAGTTAAAAGTAGCCGAGCAGCTAGCTAATAAGCTAATTCGTGCTTTTCTGTTTGTTTGTTTGTTTGTTTAAGAGCAATCCAGTTGGGTCAGGAATTAGATTTTGTAGCAGAAAGAGAAAGTAGAGATAGGTTTGATACATAAGGAGGCAGAAGAAAGGAGTAAGTGGATAGTAATTTAAAGTAAGTATTAGAAATTAGGACTGTATTACGATGTATGTCACATGCAGTGGTCGATCTTATTTAAGACTATTTTAAAATAATTCCTTTTCTTGGAAGGATGGAGTTACTAGACCCATGACAGCAGTGAGAGCAGCTGGGTTTACCAAAGCAGCTTTGAGAGGTTTGTTATACCATTTCTACAGATAGTTTTTTTCAGATCTCTTAAATTTGTACTGTATACAAATTATAACATATATAAATGTCATTACTATATTAAATAAAATTTAAAATGCCATTGACCATAATTGATTGTTATTTTAGGTTCTATTAAGAAAAGAAAAGGAGCTGGGCATGGTGGTACACACCTGTAATCCCAGCACTTGGTAGACTGAGGCAGGAGGATCTCCATCAGTTTAAGGCCAGCCTCGGCTACATAGCGAGTTCAAGGCCAGCCTGAATTACAGGGTGAGACCTTATCTGAAAAGGAGAAAAAAAAAAAGAAGGAAAAGATAGGAAGAGGATGATGAACTTGTTCCACAGGGATGGTTACAACTACTGTGTAATTTGTCAAAATGTGTTGAACTGTATACTTAAAATGTGTGCATTTTATTTTATGTAAATTATATTTAGAAATGAAAAGTAAAAGCAGTGTAAATATACAAAAGTTAAACATAATTAAAACATACAGTTATTATGAAATGTTTATTTTACCAATAAGGGACATTCAAAAGCCATTACCAAGTTATATTTATACAATTGATGATTTTAGAGTTGATATAGATCAGTGCAAGAGAGAGTAAATAGTGACAGCGTATCTGATTTTTGTTTTTACATATTAACCCACAAATTTTGTTTACATAGTTTCACGAAAGCATGTTAGAAAATTTTACCAACTTCTTGATATATGTAATATTTATGTAGCCATAATAAATGTTATATCCATTTAATAAGTAGGTAATCAAACTATTTAATAAGTAGGTAAGTTCCTCTTACAGGATTTCATGTTTTCATATTTTCTTCACTTGTGTTGGGTTGCAAATTAAATATGAACTCTTAAATTGTGTCTCAGGTTCTGCATTTGATCCCCTTGGTCAATCAAGGGGCCCTGCCCCTCCTCTGGAAACCAAAAACGAAGATAGGTATGCAAGTCTTTATGCTGTTGCTTGGTTATTGTTGCTGCATATTTTTTATTTTCCAAATATATAAATTTTTAAAGTTTCTACTTTTAGTTGTAAACTTAGTTTTAAGTATTTCTATTTTCCAAATATATAATTTTTAAAAATTGTATAAGTAGATAAATATTCAAAACATCATACTTTGTTCTTAGAACTAGCAGAGGAATCATATCTAAGAATAGTCATGTGTTCTGTGCAATTTCATTGGGACATTATTTGATTTGAAGATACCTAATTTTTATGGGTGCCCAAATAGTGATTCTCTTGAAGACCGAGTGATATTACTAAATCTTCTGATTATTTTAAAAGGACATTTTCAAAGAAAAATATCAAGAACACTCATAGCAAGTTAATCTGTCATGATACTATGGAGTAGTTTAACTCACATGGATATGTGTGTTGCTGGGTATGAAACCCAGTGCCTTGTGCTTGCTAAGCATATGCTCTAGCATTGAACTACATCCTCAGCCTGATCAATGTAATTTTTTATAAATTAACTTAGTTTGGTGCTATGACAGCTGGTAACTACAGTAACCATTCAGACAGCCATACAGTTTACTGATATCTAAGTACCTTGATGTATACATTTTATAAATAATCACAGCAGCCGGGCATGGTAGCACACACCTGTAATCCCAGCACTTGGGAGGCAAGGCTGGAGGACTGCTGTGAGTTCAAGGCCAGCTTGAATTATATAGCAAGACCCTGTCAAAAAAACAAATAAAAAAATAATGATAATCACAACAAACGTGTTCTGAGTCCTGTGTGTGCAGGAACTATTCTAAATCTGTAGAGATAGAGCCGTTACTGTTACCAGTTCATGGAGGAGGAAGAGAAGCACACTGATCTTGACTTGGCCGAGGCTAACAGAGGTCAGGACTGAGGTTCAGACCTGGTTAGTCTCATTCCAGAGCTCATTCTTTTAACCATTACACTGGTTTACTTCTGTATAACGTAAGTTTTTAAAGTATAGTTCTTCAACCCAGTATTTGGAGCTATTGTATAAATTACATAATTTACCTTTTTAACTCACATGGAACCTCTATAGAAAATCAGTTTCATTTTGTATCCTTTTTAATTACAGCATGTTTGCTAGTAAAAGTAGATCTTTTATGTAATTATAATGCCACTTAATATTTTTCCAGCTGCTAAAAATAGAAGATGTTTTAAAACACATAATTAATAAAAACATTTATTGTACACAACAGAAGGTCTGGAGGAAGAACAGTTCTAGGAATGATTAATGTTAGCTATTTACTGCAGTCCCTGCTTTGACTCTGTTTGATTCTCTTGGCTTTCCCAAGAGCCTGACTGTCACCACACTGCCAAGAGGCTGCTGAGAGCCTGGCCGTGTAACGGAGAAAGCCTGGCTGCAGAAAGTCCCAGTTTCATTTGCTTGTAAAAAGGAAAGGAAACCTTTGCAGAAGCTCTTCACCCCAAGCAGAACGTGCCTTTATTTCCTCAGTGGCAAGAAATACATCACATCCTAGGGTTGACCCAACTCCTGGGAAAGAGAAGGAGATGCTCTATTATTGAGGGTTCCCTAGAGGACAGAATCCACATAAAATATATGTATGATTACACACGGGATTTATGAGGTCAGCTTAGAGCAGAGTTGACAACATTTTGGAGACAGCCAAACTGCAACCAAAAACCCACTTATTTATTGCAGAGTGCTAACACTGTAATTAAACTTGAATACTGAGGTTATAGTTTAGAAAAAAACAATGCTATATTAACATCTTTTGTCTTACAAGAAAAACACAGTAACCTGTATGCCACAGGTTTGCTACCACTGGCTTACAGGATCTGAAGGGGAAGAGTCCCAGGAGCCTTTTATAGAGTCAGAGGTGGAAGAAGACAAAAGCGCCCTCTGCGTGCAGGAGAGTCACAGGATCCAATAAGAGTGTAAGGCCCGAGGCCTGGAAATTCATTGCCTTGTCGCCAGTGTACGCCTGTGTTGGAAACCAAAGAGTCTTCATTAGAAGACGGAGGAGTCTGAGCTGGAAGCCTGAAAGAACTAGAGACCAGTGTCCAGAGGCAATGTGAAGACCAGAGCTTTGCAGAAAAAAGGGATCAAGACTTCCTTCTTCTTTCCCTTTCTACTCAGTCCAGGCTGCAAGCCTGGTTGGTGCCACTCACATCTTGTAGGTCTTCCCTCCTCAGTTTGCCACCTACATCTCAGTCATTTACAGACACACCCAGAGCTCTCCTAGGTAGCTGGGTAGTTCTTGCTCAAGTTGACATGTCACATTTAATGATCACAGATGCCAGAGACTGGCTTGACTTCTGTATGCAAGGAATAAGGGTAGGGATGGCAGGCTCTTTTTAAGAGGATATTTGACAATATCAACACATAGATGTCATTTTCTAGGTATTTGTTAGGGACAGGATAGTTACTTTAAATGTCTTCATGAAGATCTCTTACAAAGTTTTAACTTTGAAATTTTATATTGATATTTTTAGTTTAATAATCTTTAAGCAATACTTAAAATATAAAAAATGTATTACATGATACAAAATCACCATTCACAAATTTTTACATATCTAGCTGGGAAAGATATACAAAAATTCCATTCACAATAGCTTAAAAATATCTAGGAATTAACTTTCAAAAATTCTATAATTCATATGGAAACACAAAAGACCCATAATAGCCAAAGTAGTCTTAAGCAAAAAGAACAAGGCTGCAGGCATCGCAATACCTTATTTCAAACCATGCTACAAAGCCCTAGTGACAAAAGCAGCATGGTGCTGGAACAAAAATAGACATGTACTTGAATAGAATAGAATAGACGACACACAAAAAGACCTGCACAACTGCAGCCATCTGATGCTTGACAAAGGAGCAAAAAATACACATTGGGGAAAAGACAGCATCTAACAAATAGTTCTGGGAAAACTGTATATCTCTATGTGGAAAAGAGAAACTAGATCCCTATCTCCTACCCTGTACAAAAATCAAATCAAAATAAATTAAAGATTTAGATTTGAAATCAGAATATTTGAAACTGCTGGAAGAAAACATAGGGGAAGCACTTGAAATCATAGGCACAGAGAAAGACTTCCGGAATAGGACTCCAACAGCACAGGAAGTAATAGAAGAACTAACAAGTGGAACTACATCAGACTAAAACATTTCTGCACAACAAGGACAATAACTAATAGATTGAAGAGATAACCTACAAAGTGGGAGAATGGATAAAGAAAATTTCATGTATGTACATGATGGAAAAATATTCAGGCATAAAGAAGAACAAAATCATGTCCTCTTCAGGAAAATGGATGGAATATTAGACTATCTTGCTAAGTGGAATAAGCCAGATTCAGAAAGTTAAAATTCATATGTTTTCTCTTATATGAGAACGCTGAAAAATAAACAAAGGAAGGAAGGAAGGAGAGATGCCAGGAAACTAGAGGGTAGACTTTGGGATGTGGGAAAGGGAACAGGAAGGAAGGGGAAAGAAAAAGGAGTAATGGGATTTAAAATGAGAAAGGTATATTAAATGTGTGTACCATATTCCCAAAGTGAACCTCACCAATCTGTGTTACTAACGTGTAATATATACAGTAGAAAAAAGAGAAAAAAATGCTAACAAATATATTCTGGAGTCTGATGATTACTTTGCCCACTAAGAAAGCCACTAAGGAAAGACTATTTGTTGTTTTGAAAAATCATGATAGTTGGGAATAGGTTTCATGGAATGAGTAAAAGCTTAATTTGGGTTCACTGCTCTGATAGAAATGCTATAAACTTACTTCATTGTGTAATAAGGTTATTTTCCTTCTAATAATAGAGTTTGTATTAGGGAGAAACTGAGATTTTGGTCAAGGATACAAATTTTCAGTTAGGAGGACTACGTTCAGGAGACCTATTGTAAACCATGGTGACTGTAGTTAAGAACAATACACATACACAATAGACTATTGCTTAAGTGTGAAGAAGAATAAAATCGTGTTGCAGGAAAATGGATGAAACTGGAAATCAACATGTTAAGCTAATTAAACCAGATTCAGAAAGACCAGCATTGCGTGTTTTCCCTACTATGTGCAGTCTAAGAACATGGCATGAAAGTAGAGGGGTGCTATTACTAGACAAGAGAAAAGGAGTGGAGCAGTGCACGAGAGGGCAGTAGAGGGAATACATGTGGTCAGGATATGTGCATATATGAAAATGCCACATTGAAACCCATGTTTTATAAAGTTAATAGGCACCAATGAAATATATTTAAAAGAAGACATTTACTAGATTATTTCAGACAACTTGAAAACAGAATTCTACTCTTGAACTTTTAAAAACTCCCCATCTGTATGCTCATTGGTGAGTTAAAATTTTATACACTTTTATACACTAGTAAAATTTGGTCTTAGTCCCTTAGCAATCAGATTGCTCTGATTCTATAGATCTGATTCTGTAGGATCAGGCTGTACTCTTTCATTTGTGCCTGTATTCTTAGGAAATCCATTATAATTAAGAAAACTGATATCAATATATTTTACGCATTGATACACATTCATGTTGTTCTGATTTTTGCTGGAGGAAAGTGGTAGCATCACTGTTATTGTGAAATGTGACTGACTGGGGCATAATTTGCTCTTTGTAGTGCTGGGCCTGGAGCCCAAGGTCACATGCATGCTAGACATGCACTCTGCCACTGAGCTCTACCCTCAGCCCTGGAATAATTTACTCCTAATAGAGCCAGAATTTTAAAGCTTACCTACCTTGCTAAAAAAAATTTTCTCTATAGTCTCTTTCTGATGCAAATCATTTTTTGTTGTTATTTTATTTTAAAAATTTAAAAACTGACAAAACATAATGACGACAAAATCAAAGCAACATTTTCATCTCTTTTATGATGGCTTCATTTTTCCAAACCATAAGGCAAAGTTTTCATTTGCCATAGGCTCTGAAAGAAAAATTGCTTCAGTTGGGAGGTGGTAATATACTAACCAGGGTCCTAGAGTACCCTCGTTGGTTCTAAATCCTGGCTCTGTAACTTGACATCTTTGTAATGTTGGGAAAAATACTGCTTTTTTTGAGACAGGGTCTCACTGTTTAGTTCAGGCTGGCCTTGCCTACACTATGTAGCCCAGGCTGGCCTCGAACAGGTCTTGCAATGATGCTTCTGCCTCAGCCTCCCATGTGCTGAGACTACAGGCATGTGCTACCACACCTGGTAGGCAAAATACTTTCTAAACCCCAGTTTCCTATTCAGTAAAATAGAAATAATGAAAGCTTTCATATCTAGTATTGTCATGAGGAATAAATGAAATTATTAAAGGATTCAGCTTTGTGTTGAATTATATAATTATTTTTTTACTATAATTACAAGTAATTATTTAGTTATTAAAATAAGTAGTCCATTTGCTCTTTAATGCCCTTCATATGTATATCTTATCTGTGACCTACATTTTAAGAGCATGCAATGGACAGTATTATTTATTTATTTGTCTTTTTGAGGCAGGGTCTAGATATGCAGCTCACGCTGGCCTTGAGCTCACTTTGTAGCCCAGGCTGGTCTCAAACTCGCAACAATCCTCCTGTCTCAGCCTCCTGAGTGCTGGGATTACAGGCGTGCACCACCTCGCCCGGCTATGGACAGTATTAAAAGTAAATTAAGTCTTGTATCGATTATTAGTGGTTTAGTGATTTAAATTACTTCTGCTTTTTTAACAGTCCGGAAGAAAAGATTAGGCAATTAGAGAAGAAGGTAAATGAGCTGGTAGAAGAAAGCTGTATTGCCAACAGTTGTGGAGACTTAAAATTGGTAAGTTCATAAACTAGTAAGATTCAAGATTAAGATTATGCCGGGTGTGGTGGCACACACCTATAATCCCAGCACTCGGGAGGCTGAGGGAGGAGGATCACTGTGAGTTCAAGGCCGGCCTGAACTGCATAGTGAGACCCTGTCTCAAAAAGACAAAAAATTAAAAAATAAAAAGATTAAGATTATGAGATATATGTAGGTGCATGTGTCAGCTCCACTTTTATTATATACACACAAGCAGATACAGATAAATATTTTCATTTTGCTGAGTGGCATTAACGTTTTGACTAAAGCAATTATTTTGAGAACCAGAAATTGTAACTGCTTTATGATTTCTGATAATTGGTAATTTTTGACATTGGTCTTTTTAGTATGGAAAAATTCTGTTGTACTTGTTAGTTTAATTTGCAGCCCAGTAGACTGTTGGATTAGACTCCAGTATATCGCCAAAAGTTACAGCTGCCATGAGCTACGCATAGCTTTAAGTGCCGGCTGCTCTGTTTTGGTTTGCTTTTTATGGTAGTGGGAATTGAACCCAGAGTCTTTGCAATGCGCTATATCCCCAACCCTTTTACAATTTTTTATTTTGAAACAGTGTCTCACTTAAGTTGTTAAATTGCACAGGCTGAGCTCAGACTTGTTAGTTCCTTCGGTCTTCGCCTCCCAGAGTGCTGGGATTGTAGGCGTGCTCCCCCATTTTCTATTCTGCTTTGTTACTAAAGCTTCATTCACTGCCCTGAAATACTTTCTTCCAAGTGTGCCACGAAATCATAGTTTGCTTTTTAGCCATCTAGCTCTGATTTTTAAAATTGTCATTCTGTATAAATATAATTTCTGTGACTTACCAGATTAGTGCATACCGTTAGAGAAAAACATTCAGTAAAAAAAGCTACTTTTATTGCTTGTAAAACTGGTGAATTTTTTTTATCTGTTTCTAAGAAAACAAAGTCTGTTACTGAATTTGCCTGTGGAAATAAACAAGAGGCTTTTTGGTACTCTCAGTAGGATAAGAGCCAACCTAAGAATATCTGTGATGCTGGGCAGCAATTATCCTTTAACTTGCTGTATTTTGAGCATCTCAGAAGCCCCTCAAATCTGTCTAAATTCCTACCTCACAAATTCAAATAAAATACCCCAAAATTCAGGAAGTAGGAAGAAAGAAGTGGTATATGGTCCAACTTAAAAGGAGATGGAAGGTGTATGGTAGAGAAACTTGACTTGGAGCAAATATGATCTACATTTCATCCCTCATACTGTCCAGAAGAACCACATGGGCAATTCTATGATGTTATCTGCAGTTCAAATAAATATTCTAGGGTTTTTTCCTGAAGGAAGTTTAACAGAGGGGCATCCTGGGGAATCCATGATTTGAAAATGAATTCAGCAAGCTTCATGTAGATATTTCCCAAATACATAAAGGTTGATGAATGCTCAGATTTTACAAAGGATGAATCTGATTTCAGGCCTTAGAAAAGGCTAAAGATGCAGGAAGAAAAGAAAGAGTCCTGGTGCGGCAACGAGAACAAGTTACAACTCCAGAAAATATCAATTTGGATTTAACTTACTCAGTAAGTATCGAAATACCTGCTGGCAAAATTTATTTTGATGAAAATTTCTGAATTCCCAATCTTTTTATTCATTATTTTTTTAATCTGTATATAAAGTTACAAAAACTATGTATTTATGTGGTACCATGTGATGTTTTGATACAGGTATATATCATGTGTGTTCAAATCAGGTTGAATATACCTGTCTTCTCAAACATTTATCATTTCTTTGTAGTAAAAAAATTCACACTTCTTTATTCTAGCTTTTCGAAATATACAATATAGTGGTACCTCTATTCATGAACAGTTTTTTTTTTTTTTTTTTTTTTGTTTTTTTCCGGTACTAGGAACTGAACTCACGACCTTGCGCTTGCCAGGCAGGCGCTTTGCCGCTGAGCTAAATCCCCAGCCCCTTCATGAACAGTTTTATTTGTGGACAATTTGGTTCACAAGTAGAAGCATTTAGCAAAATTTTGTTTTTATTTGCAAACTACATCGGGTGACAAACATCCTGTGGCTGTCTCTCCCAAATCCAAACGTGGCCAACTTTTCTAAAATCATGGAACAAATTAAGTGTCTGAACCAAGGTACTGTTTGTACATTATTGTTTCCTGTAGTTATTTTACTGTGTATTGGTACACTAAAGCTTCCTGCTTCTATCTCACTATAACTCAGTAAGCATTGATCAACCTCTCCTCATCCCTTTCCCCACACAGAAGTCATTTTTCTTCTTTTGTTGTTTTAAATCATACTGCTTTTAGGTACCCAGAATTATATCAATAATAAGTACTTCATGAGATACTTTATCTTTGGTTTATAGATCTTTTGGCAGAGATCCTTTTTATAAATTAGCTATTCAGTTAGTTGTTTTTAATAACTTTGTAAGTACTGGAAAATCTTCCATCCAGTGACTATATATTTGAAGATTGTTAATACTTCTTTTGTTTGTTTGTTTTCCGGTACTGGGAATCGAACTCACGACCTTGCATTTGCCAGGCAGGTGCTGTGCCGCTGAGCTAAATTCCCAGCCCCAAAGATTGTTAATATTTATGCCCTCTCTATTAATGAAATTCTAATATAGACTTGAGTTTCAAGGATTTTAAAATAGGCAAAGAAGAGAAACTATGGTCAGAGTTTTTTAAAAAGCCTGTAGTTTTAGCAACATTTCTTTAATTCTGAAAATATATTTCCTTGCTCCTTTACTGCTGTGTAAAAGGCATTATGATAAATAAAGGATTTACAAGGTAGGCTAACAATGACTGCCTGCAAAAGGACCATTTGCACACTGGAGAGCCAGAGGATCCGGTCAAAAGTCAAAGGCCTGGAGCTTACTGCAGAGTTTCCCGCCAAGTCTGTATCAGCAAGCCAAAGAGTCTGCACTAGAAGTGTGGAGATGGGCATCCAAAGGCAGTGGCCAAGACTGGAACTCCTCCAGAGAAGCAGAAATGAGACCACTTCTTTCCCTTTTTATTCCATTGAGGCTACAAGCCTATTGGTGGGTACCACCCACACCCAGGGTGGGTCTGCCCCTTTCAGTGAGTCAGTCATCCAGACATACTCAAAACGGTGCTAACCCAATAAGTTAGGTATTTCTTATTCAAGTTGATAGAACTGTTACAATCCACCCTTTGTCACCTTGACAACCAGACATATTTCCTCAAACCATACTTAGTCTCCAGATTAGCAAGTTCATAATTATGTTTAACATGATACAGCTATCCTGCATACAAATGGAAGCACATTAATCCATCCTTAGAACAGAAGGCAAAGTTTTTCTTTTGGTAGTGCTTACTCCTAACACATTATAACTTAAACATTGTGATACAGGTTTAGCAATACTTAAAAACCAATATCAAGCCTATCAACATTATTTTACAAAGAAAGGAAATAAATATACCTGGTTGATCAGCATATTAACGGTATAGCAGAAAACAGTTATAGTTAAAATCTCATATCTGTAACTGGTCACAAAATCATAGGTGGTATGTATAAATACCTTATTCTAATACCCCTTCTGTATTCTATTGGCCTTCAGCAAGCACCTCAGGAGATTTTAGTTCTTTATCTGGTGAGATAGCCTGTACCTTCATTCCTGAAGGTTCTGAGCCATTTGTCATCCAGCCTGGATTGGGTTGTTGTAGTTTCCCATTAACCTTAATAACAGGGCATGGCAATACTAGGAGGCACCCTAAGGGATCTCCTACACTACAAATATATTCCTCCTTCCCTCCATTGTGGAGTAACAGTCCAATTTCTCCCTGGTAGTCAGTCACCCCTGCCAGTACCCCAAATCTCTTTTTAGCTCAGAGACATGAGGAACGCAGATGACAAGGGGGAAATCTTAGCTTCCTGCTCAACAGAAATGTGCTGTGCTTTTCGATGCAAAACTTCTGGTATCAAGAGTGGGGTTGTGTTTTTGATGGGCAAGTTTTCATATACTAAACAATACTAAATTAAGGTTTAATTTATTCCCACATGATGCTTAACTTATATTTACAAGAGAATTTAAAAGACTATCTTATTTATTTCTTTACCAGTAACATAAACAATGCACATTTATTCTGTGTATGTCTTCCTGAGATTAACAGATGGCAAATACTACTAAATTAAAGTAGAATGCATAGAAAATTAAGTGCAACTTCGTGGACAGCTCTTTGTTGACGTTCTGGTTTATATGGAATGTAAATATTTCTTTTTTGTAAGATACTTCTTTTGTATACTAAATTTTGTTTTTGGTTGTGTATCTTGATGTAAGCAGCTAAGTTTTTTTATAGCATTTTAATCTCTAGTTATAAGTTAAAAAGGGGCTGAAAATGATCATTATGTATCTTTTTGCAATATTTTCTTCTTCAGGTGCTCTTTAACTTGGCCAGTCAGTATTCAGCTAATGAAATGTATGCTGAAGCGCTAAATACATATCAAGTCATAGTGAAAAATAAATTGTTTAGCAATTCAGGTAGGTATGTATAATCAGTTTTGTCACTGAAAATAATTCTTTTATAGTGTTATTTACAGCTTCTTACTTTATGCTTCCTTATAATGAGATAACCTATGCTCTAAGCACATTTGTATTTATGATGCAAGTTCTTATTTAAAGATACTATTTATATGAAAATCCATACAGATACAAATACAGAAGAAAAAACACAGTTGATGTGAAGTATGCTGCTTAACAGTGAAGAGAAAATGTGTGCCATCATCGTGAGGAGGAGTGATGAATGGCACACCCAGGGGCTGTTCTTTCTGTCATGCAAATGTAACCCCAAGACTAGAGTTTCTATTTAGTATCTATATTTATAATTTTTGGTAGTAATATTATAGTTTATCATAATGTCATTTCATCTGATACCATTAAAATGCATGTGGCATTATTAAGTCTAGTTTTAAAATGTCATGTATTTTTAAGTCCCACTTTTTAGTAGAATACACTCCCAGTTTTGTAATGTAAATTGATCATTTCCAGCCATATTTTCAGGAATCTACCTATCTTAAGTTCCATTTCCTCACAGAAAAGTAATGTGTAAATATGTGATAGTAGAGCTGTCTTAAAGGTACAATTTTAGTTAATGTATGAATCTTTAAAAGAAAGCTATAGAAAATATGAATTAAGGTCATCAAAGATATCATAGAAAAGATGCAAAAATGAAAATATCATACTTTTTATTTAGGAAGATTGAAAGTGAATATGGGAAACATTTATTTAAAGCAAAGAAATTATTCCAAAGCCATTAAATTCTACCGAATGGCCTTAGATCAAATCCCAAGTGTCCATAAAGAAATGAGGTAAGTGTATAGCATAATTGTAAAATTTAAGGGTTATTTTTCAGAAACGGGATAACTCTTATCCATTGTTAGTAGGTTGAACATTTTGAACTGTTTGTACATAAGAGGTATTGGATTTATTTATATGTATATTTTGTTCTGTTCCCTCTGACTATTTAGACATATTTGTACAGTGTCAAATTAAAAGTTAAAAGCATGGTATGTGATCAAGAGAAATAAAACTAAGCCTATTAACCATCTAGGAATTAACCCTGCAAGCCAACAGTACCAAGACACAACTTAATGCCAACAAAATGTCACAATATGTGTCCTACATAATATATCAGACTCCAAACAAGGCTAGAAATTAAGATCACCTCACTTGAGAGTGAAATAGTGAAAAGGATTACTTATGAATTTCAGAAGAGGAAAAAGATATATTTTCTACTCCTGCAATATTCAGGAGCATAAACATGTATTTACTGGTTATAATTGTCCTTAGGCACCAGGGACAGTTAATCTGTTTGTAAATGCTACTTTTCATGATCGTTTGTTTCTGAATTTTACATGGTACCTCATTATCATTAGCAAATATTACCTAGCTTATAGGACACAATTCCCCAAGGTACTTTTAACCCAGATGAGACCAAGAATTTGAGCATTTTAGAAAAAGATGGTAATACTAGGTAGCATATGTTAAGTGCTTAATAGTCAGTAAGTGAGAAACAGTGGATGTTGTAGTAATGCAGTTGAGGGAATAATTATTGAGAACAAGAATGGTTCTGTGGTTAAGAAAGACTTTCTGAAGGTGAACTTCAGATAGGTTACTTAAGTCAAAGAAGGGATAACATTCCAGACAAAGGGAACTCCATGACACGAGTCAGGAAAAAAGCCCACTAGGATCTTATAAGCCAGTTACAGATAATCCAGTTGACATGAGACCGTGTTGAGGAGTAGTGGAAATAAGGTGGGATCACATCTGGTAGAATGGCTATACTCAAAAAGAGTGGATGAGGATGTAGATAAATCAGAAACCTCATGCATTGGGTGTATAAAATGATGTAGACATTTTGGAAAATAGACAGTTTCTTATAAGTTAAATATACATTTACCATATGACCAACAATTTTATTTCTAGGTATATACCCAGGAAAAATGAAAAAAAAAAAAAAACTTGTATGTGAATGTTCATAACAGTAATAATCAGAACAGCCAAAAGGTGGAAATAATCTAAATATTGATCAGGTAGACAATGGGTAAATAAAATACAGCATACATCCATGCTATAGAATACTGTGCTACTTGGCAATTGGAAGAGTGAGGTACTGATACTTGATGTTATATGGCGGAACCGCAGAAGGATTATGCAAAGTGAATGGACTCTAGCAGAATATTGTGTAATGTGTTACTTCATTTATATGCAAGATCTAGAAAAGACGGAGACAGAAATTAGATTAATGGTTTCCTAGGTATGTATATATGATCAGTTTTGATGTGACAATAGGAAACAAATATTGGCACGAGTTTTCTTTCTAGGGTAATAGAAATGAAAATAAATATGTAGTTTTGGTTCCACAACTATGTAAATATAGCAATAATCATTGAACTGTACACTTAAAAACAAGTAAATTTTATGATATATAGATTATGCCACAATACGGGCCCGGGATATAGCTCAGTGGCATAAGCGCCTGCCTGGCAAGCGCAAGGTCCTGAGTTTGATTCCCAGTACCAAAAAATAAAATAAAATAAAATAAGATTATGCCACAGAAGAGCTTTGATGAAATAAAAATAACTAAAGAATAAAAGGGTATTACTGTGGACATCTTGAATCCATACTAAAGAATTCACTGTCAGACTAATTCATGTTTATTTCTATTTAGGATTAAAATAATGCAGAACATTGGAGTTACGTTTATTAAAACTGGTCAGTATTCAGATGCCATTAATTCACTTGAGCACATAATGAGTATGGCGCCAAACCTGAAGGCAGGCTTCAACCTAATTCTTAGTTATTTTGCCATTGGAGACCGAGAAAAAATGAAGAAGGCATTTCAAAAATTGATTGCTGTTCCATTAGAAATTGATGATGATGATAAATATATTTCACCAAGCGTGAGTATGAAAAAGATTGTTATGTAGTCATTGCCTCCTTATGTATGTTTCTCTTTTTCTAGGAATGAGAAAATTGGAATAAATGACTTTTTTTCTTGTGGTACTGCGTATTGAGCTCAAGAGTGTTTGCGTTGTATTATATCCCCAGCCACGCTTTTTTTTAAAAAAAATTTTGAGACAGGTTATCACTGAGTCACTAATTTTCTGACACTGGGCTCAAACTTGTGATTCTCCTGTCTCAGCCACCCAGAGTGCTCTGATTGCAGGTGTGTGCCACCATGCCTGTTTTACATGACTTCTTGAGTTCTCAAAGGATTATGTTACTATGACTCATCGATGATCTATTTCATTTGTTATTTAAATTAGGCTGGGAGTGGGACTCTCTTGGAATGGGGCTAGAGATTATAGTTAAAACAGACTGCACAAATTTAGTCAAACTTTTTAAAAAGATTCATTAAAAATAAGATTTGCACGTCATTCATAAAGAGTGACATCTTGACCATGGAACCACACAATCCTTTCTAGCAGATTTAAAGATCAAAATCTTTTTGAAGTTCTTGAGCTGGAAACCTAAACTAACCTGTGCTAACTGGGTCACAAGGATAAAAAAAAAAGTTTCTTGTCTTTATTCATGGAGTAGAACATAACACAGCTCTCAAAAGTCCTATTTTTAAAGACATAGGGAGATGTAATTTCCCTATGTTGTAATATTATGTAATATTCCCTATTATGTAATATTAATTAAAAGGACAGATATACACCTCCTCATGAACAGCAACTGGAACATGAAAATAGAAACAATTTCTGGACAATGAGATTGTTTTTCTTAGTGCTTTCAAAATATCTTCCAGATTTTTATGCATAAATTACAGGTTTATTCTGTGGTGTTATTTTACATCAAGTCAACCCATACAAAATTACCTTTATTTATAGGTCCACAGATAACGGTATAGTATCTTCAGTTTCATGGAGCTAGTACATTTTTCTTAGTAGAGCGTAAGGATGTAGTAGCCTCTTGGTTACCGAGTGAAACCTCTAAAGCCAGGCACTTGGCTCTGCCACGCAGTTCTTACTCTCCTGTGCCTCAGTTCCTTTACCTAAAATTGGGACTACTTCTAACAACCTGCCTTACAGGGTTGTGAGGGTTAAATGAGTTAGTGCACGTAAAATGCTCAGAGTAGTACTTGGAACGTAGTAAGTACTGGATCCATGCTAATTATTACCTATCACTTTCATATTGAGAAAATGTGTTGTGAAAAATTACCTTACTGTGTGTGTGGCGGGACTGTTAGTTAGGGATTGAACCTGGGACCTTGTGCATGGTAGATAAGAGCTCTGTCACTGAGCCATACCCCAGTCCTATGTGTATTCCTTTTTTTTTTAAGACAAGATTTCACTTTGTTCTCTAGGCTGGCCTTTAAACTCAGGGTCTTCCTGGCTCAGCCTCCTAAGTAGCTAGGATTTAGGTATATTCCATTATGCCCTGCTCCCATCTGTATTTTTGATAGGGGGTTGAATTATGGATTATATTAAGCAGTTGATGATCATGAAAGCATTTATATTTGAGATTAGAAATTGTATTATCACATAATAATCGCTTCTGTATAGTTGCTCCTATTTCTGCCCAACCTAGCCCTTTTATCAGCTGTTCAAAATTTATGTTAGTTCAATGGAAAATATACTAAGAATCAGAAATAAAAAGAAAATAAAGGTTAATGTAATCTCCATTTTATATAACTGGTTTGTGGGGGCTTTGATTAGAAATCTAAGTTTTTGATATTTAGTTTTGATTGTTTTTCAATTTTATTTTCCTAGGATGATCCCCATACTAATTTAGTAATTGAAGCTATAAAAAACGATCATCTCAGACAAATGGAACGTGAAAGGTAATATTGGGGCACTTAATAATGTAGTTTTGGTTTTATACAATGATTAAATGTACATTATCATTGTTTCCCATAAACCTTGTTACATTTATCCTTTTTGGGTTTTTTTGGTACCGGAAATTGAACTCAGGACCTCATGCTTGCCAGGCAGGCACTGTGCCGCTGACCTACATCCCTGGGCCCATTCTGTTTCTTGAAAAGAGCTATCATTTAGCCATTTCTGTACTTCGTTGGATTCTCTTTTCTCTTTCCAAGTAGTTCCAGTCCTCATGCTGAACCCAATTATTATTATTTACATTTATTCTTACATTTCATGTAAGAAATTACATGTTATTCTTACATTTAAGAACAAAATTACATGGTATTCTTACATTTCTCTGTAATTTTCTTTCCTTTTACATAATTTATTTCAGAATTATATCCTAATGTTTTTTGTCCTGCTTCCCAAATAAATATCAAATATAAAAGAGGAAATTACATTTGCTTTTTCTTTCCTTTAATGTGGTACTACAGTCTACTTCTAATGCCACATTAAGAACAAATGTTTCAGCTCTCTGGACACCAACTGATGTCCAACAATTGAATTCTAACAGTAACTACCGAGAGTTCATGCAGACCTCAGAGTGTCAGGACTCAGTACCACAAGACTGCCTTTCCACCCGCACTGCAGTCACTGCAAGCATGAGTCTCCCCTACTTCTGACTATGAATCTCTGCTTCCTACCATTCTTCTCCGTGGGTTCCATAAGTTGCTAGAAAAATTCACAGAACTCAGGAAAACACTTTACTTATGTTTACCACTTTGTAAAGCCTAGGTGTGTGGGGAGGGGCATGGTGTTACCATGCCCTCTGCAGGTTTACTACCCATTAGTACCCTTGTCTGTTCACCAGCCTGAAAGACCTCCTAATTGAGGTTCCATTAGGTAGGCATGACTGACGATAGCATTGGCCTTTGGTGCTGAAGCTGAATTTCTAGTCCTTGTTCACTCCTTGGGATTTGGAGAATGAGACCTAGAATTCCAGCCCTCTGATTGCTCGATTGCTTCCATTGGTACCCAGCCCCATCCACAAGCTTTCCAACAAGCAGTTACCTCGCTAGCATAAACTCAGGTATGGTAAGAAAAGGGGCTTGTGAATAACAAAAGACACTTCCACCACTCAGGACCTCCAAAGGTTTTAGGAGCTCTTTGCTAGGAGCCAGGAAATTATAAGTATGCTTAAAACTAGGGAAAAAAAACTCGCAAAGAAAGAAGTAGACAATTTCAGCAAAGAAATGAAAGATAAAAAGAAGAATCAAATAGAAACTTTAGAACTGAAAAATACAACAATTAAAATTAAAAGTTCAGTGAATGGGCTCAGAGGTGGAATGGAGGGAACAGGAAACTTTCCGTAACTTGAAGATGGAAAACACAATTACCCAATCTGAACAATAGGGAGAAAATGGTCCAAAACCAAAAATGAACAGAGCCCCAGGGACCCATGGTATTCTGACAAAACGACTAACATTTGTGTCGTCAGAATCCGGGAGAGAAGAGGGGTAGACTGAAGAATTAATAGCTAAATTTGTCAAGAAAAGTAAATGTGCAATTCAAGAAGTTTGGTGAACCCCAAACAAATAAACCTAAGGAACTCAATGTCAAGATACACATATCATGATTTTAAACTTCTGAACATTAAAGACACAGAAAGTGTTAAGTTGGGTGCAATGCCTTGCCTCTGGAGAACCAGGCATTTGAGAGGCTGATGCAGGATGATTACTTGAGCCTAAGAGTGCAAGACCCAACGGTGTTGTGCAACCTAGTGAGACCATCTCAAAAAAAGTCCTGAAAGCAGCCATAGATAAATATCCCCTGATTCATAGTGGGAAAACAATATAATAGAAACTGCTGATATTGAAAACAGGGAAACAATGAAAAAGTCAATGAAGTACACCTGGTTCTTTAAAAAGAGCGATAGAATTGATGAACTTCTAGCAAGACTGACAAACTAAAAAGAGAAACAAAACAGTGCCAGGAGTAAAACACTGCAGACCCTAAAGTTATCAAAAAGGTAATAGAAAGAGTACTACAAGCAGCCCCACAGCTATAGACTTGACAGGTTAGATGAAGTGCGCCACTTCACTGGAAAACTTTCTACTACAGCTTACCTAATAGGAAGTAGATTTTTTAAATAGCTATATGCATGTTAAGGAAATTGAATGCATGGTTTTAAAACTCAGAAACAGAAACCTCCAGGCTTTAGTTGGTCTTGGTAGAGAATTCTAGCAAACCTTTAAAGAATTAATATCGGTTCTACCAAATTGTGACATTAGTTTTTCCTGATACCAAAATCAGATAAAGGGAACACCAAAAAGACCACAGAACAATATTTTATGAATATGAAAATTTCAAAAAGTAATATTAACAAGATATAAAAATAATTGCACACTACAATCAAGTAGGATTTATGCTAAGAATGCAAAATTAGTTTAAGATGTGAAAATCAATAAAAGTAAGATATGAGAAGGGAGGACAAAAACTACATGATGTGGAACCTCTGTCTCAAAAGAAAACAAAGATTTTTATGAAATCCAAAAAGAAATGAGTCACAAGGAAGTCATATATTCTATTATGACAGCTGTAGATGTGATGAATCTACAGAAGTTAGGTTAGCTGTAGGTATGCACAAAGGTGTCTGATAATTGGTATTGGGTTTCTTTTGTAAAGAAAATGTTCTCAAAGTGATTATAGTGATGTTTGCACAAATCTGTGTATACACTTAAATCATTGAATTATAGATTTTATGTGGGTAAATTGTATGACATGTGGATTGTAGCTTTATGAAGTACTTTCTTAAAAAAATATTAGGAATATATATTCCCCTTCTCCAAGTACTGAGGACTGAACTCAAGGTATTCCTGCTGAGCTATATCCTCAGCTGCCCTTTACTATTAAAAATTTTTATTTTTATTTCGAGACAGGGTCTTGCTAAGTTGCTAAGTTGCTAGGCTGGGTTCAAATTTGGGATCCTCCTGCCTCAGCCTCGTAGACTGGTGGGATTATAGGAATGTGCCACCACATCCAGCTGAGACTATCTATATTTTAAATTATAAACCATTACCCAGTAGAATTTATTCTCGGGTTGCATTATTTGACAATGGTTCATTGTTTGACAATCAGTCCTGATTCTATTTTTTTGAAAGTTTTATGATGAATAGGTGTTAAATTTTGCTGTTTCTTTTTTTTTTTTTTTTTTTTTTGCATCATTCAATAATAGCATGGAACATTGGTCAGCAACACAAAGGGATGAACTGTTAATAATACAGTTTGGAAGAATCTGAAGGGAATTGTGGACAGTTATCCCTAAAGATGATACACAAAATATATACATTTCCATTTATATAATGGTTTTAAAGTCAAAACTATAGAAATGGAGAGAAGACTAGTAGTTGTCAGGAGAGGGTGGGAAGGCAGCATAAGGGCTCGCGGCAGCAGTGGAGATGCCCAGTGTCCTGACGGTGTCAGTGCCGGAATCCCGGCTGTGGTGCTGCACTGCACTTACGCAGGTGTCACCTTTGGAGAAACTGAGTGAGGCGCACACTGGATCCCTGTTTTTTTTTTATTTTATAGAAAAAAGTAAAACAAAATTTCACAACAAAATGATAGGAGAATAACAATAGTTAATACATTACATGTTGTTATCTCTAAAGTAGCTGCTCAGGGTACAAGATACGGACATAAAAATTTCTCCAGTTGATCCTAGCACACACCTTCCTTTTTAAAGAAGTAGGAGACACTAATAGTATAACTCACTTGCATTTTTACCCTTCCACTACTGTCCTTTCCCCTTTCACCCATCCTAGTTCCTTTTTCCTTTTGAATGAGTTCTTCCCATTTCACAGTATCTGTTGCACATTTTAGACCTTATTTACTCTTTCAGGTTCTCACGCCAGGGAGTCAATGCAATGTTTACACTTGTGAGTCTGATTTATTTCACTTATGAGTATGGTCTCAAGTTGCATCCATTTCCCTATAAAAGCCTCAAGTTTATCCTTCTTTATGGCTGAGTAGTGGATCCCTACTATTTTTTTACAAATGCATCAGATCTACAATTATCTCAAAATAAAAAGTTTAATGAAAAAAATTACAGAAATAATGTCTATGCCATGGAAAGGTACCATTTCCATACAAATACAGCATAGTAAGATTGAAGAGACGGTTATAAATAGGGTGTACATTCTGAGTCCGTTTCTGTGTGTATAAATCCAGGAAAAATGTAAAAGATGAGAATGCTCATCCACCAGTATAAGTTGGTATATCCACCTTGAAATACAGTTTGACATTTTCCAGTAATGCTGACTATGTGCGATACACACACACACAATCACACACTCACACACCTGGAAAATACGTGCAAAAGCACCATGTTTCACTATTCAGCACAGCCTTTTTCTTGGACAGCTCATTTTTCATTCTTTCTCACGACTACAGTGTCAGTTTTGCTGCAGAGCCTCTTGCCTTTCTCCTGTCTCTCTGTTTCTTTAATTTGTCAGAAGGCATAGTGAGCAGAAAAGAAACAAACGCTCTGGATCAGGAGGCAGTTACGTTGCTGATCATGTTTCCTAGTTATGGTTTTTACCCTGACTTGCAAACATATTTCTTGTGTAGTTTTCCATTTTTTAATAACCATCTGTGCTATGTTAGCTTTGATAGATAATATTTACACTTAAATTTTCATAAATTTAAGCATTTTATATCATATTTCTAAATAAAACTTACTTCTTTAATTTTAGGAAAGCCATGGCAGAAAAATACATCATGACAGCTGCAAAACTTATTGCTCCTGTGATTGAGACATCCTTTGCAGTAGGTTATGACTGGTAAGAGAGAAATTCAATAAAACCACATGAACATGGTATATTGTAATTTATATTTTTATTTATTCAAGATTAATATTGATACTAAAAAGTGATTATGAGTATTGATTTGTACTCATCAAGCAGAAAATGTATATTAAGGTTAATATAGGCCATTATAAAAGTTCTAAGATAATTTTTTTATTGTTCACGTCATTTTGTAATTAGGTACTCAGCTATCCAGTTATTGCAGGCTGATTAGGCCCACAATCTCCCAAACTAACGGACATCGAAGGCTTAAATAAATGAGACAACTGAAATGATTTTAGGGCTCCAGGAGGGTCCACCTGTCTTACTGAATTGGAGATTCTCTGGGTTAAGACCAAGAACTTCCCTGGGCAGCCTGTATTTATTTGGTTTTCAAACAAAGGAGGGGGATACTGAAGAAAATGCAGGAATCTGGGCAGGACTTGGGAATCCCTCTAAGGACTTCTCCAAGTAATACATTATGTTAATTTAGGAGAACTATGTTATCTCCAGGAAGGCCTTCACCTCAGGAGTGAGATGTCTGCAGCTACAGTCTCCTTGTAGTTAATTGGGGTTGGAGCCACAGGTCCTCAGCTGTGACCATATCTTGTCCTTTGAGGCATTCCAACTTCACAGATCAATACAGGCCTCAGCAGGGACCAGTGACTCATAGAGGTTCACTTACTGTGAGTCCATTGCTCACCTCCAGATGTGGCCTAGGCCTTGGGCAGATTCACACATGAACATGAAAAGCCAATTGGTTAATATTAAGTACTAGTCAGAGCTGCTTCATAGTGGTCTCCACTACTCAGGCTAGTGTGTTACCACTCGTTATGATTGTTTCCTTTCTATAAATTGTTTCCATTGTATAAATTTCAACTTGTGCCCTCTTTTTCTAATCTTCTCTCATGTTTGGAAGTAATTCTAAACTTTCTATCCAGCCACTTGATCTTAGCCAAAAGGCCAAGAAGCAATAAAATAATCCATCTGAGTAATAGCTCACATCTGAAGAGCCTGCTGTTCTTTCTTGATGACTAACATGTTTCCTAGAGAGGAGTGGCATTTTAGAGTTGGAAATTTTAGGTAATTTGTTGAATAAACGAGTGATTAAATTTGTTCTCTTCCACCTAGTACAGGAGCATATCATGTATGTTATTATTTTATTTCTGCTTGGATTCTTCTGGTATGTGATTCATTTGTCTTCTAACATCATTAAAGTTTATCAAATTAATCCTCATTATTGAATTCAAATCTGTTCCTCATGAACATACTGGCCTCTATTTAAGAAGAAAAATTTGGGGCGCCTTTTGATACGGATGCTGATGCAGTAAAACAAAGAATCTAAATAGACTTACGTCCTCAGATGTGACCGTATCTTGTCCTTTGAGGCGTTCCAGCTTCACAGGTCAATACAGGCCTCAGCAGGGACCAGTGCCGCCTAAAGTGCCAGCCTCAAAAGTGTCTTCTTTCCTATGTGTAAGCTAGATAGGCACCCATTTCTTTAGAGTGGAGCCGGCAGTTTTTCAAAGACTTTGCTAGGTCTCAGCATGAAAATCAAGTGCAAATTTAAATTTTAGTAACTTTGAGGAAAAACGTTTGTAGCCAGGTATGGCGGTACATGCCTGTAATACCAGTACTGGGCAGGCTGGGGCAGGAGGAACATAAGTTCCAGGCCAGCCTGGGCAACTTAGTGAGACCCTTTTTGTTTGGTTGGTTGTTTGTTTTTTGGTTTTTTTCTGGTACCAGGAATTGAACTCATGACCTTGTACTTGCCAGGCAGGCTCTGTGCCGCTGAGCTAAATCCCCAGCCCCGAGACCCTGTCTTAAAAAACAAAGAAAAAAGATGTTTATATATTCATAAAACTTCCTTATGTAACTTTTTCAGAAATTGCAATAGATATATACATGTGTATGAACATATATGTATATGTGTCTATGTGTGCATACATGTTAAAAGCCATATATATGTACATATAAAACTACATGTAAATGTACTTATACACATATAGTTTAAAATACTGGACAGTATTCTTAGAAGGCAGCATTAGAGCTTCTGAGGATAAAAAATACATTATAGGAAAACCTTTCATAATGTCTAATTTTGTCTCATTTTTTCATGTATTTTATTAATTGCAGAGAATTAAGGAACAGACTTTTTAACATCTTTTCAATGTTTGAGAGTTTTTTGGACCTGAAATTAAATAAACAAAAGATTTAAACTATCTAAATTTTGTTCTGTTTAGTTTTTAGATGACATTTTCAATAAAAAAAAGTAGCCAATTTAGAGTGTCCTGCTTAATTTAGCTCTTAAGGCAGTTCTGTTTATATCTTAAATTATTCAGTAAAAGGGAAGCAGTTTTAAAGTTGAAAGGCTATATTCTGTCTATTCAGATCCAGCTTTTGGAAGCTAGTTTCTATTTAAAATTATTTATTTATTTATTTATTTATTTATTTATTTATTTTTGGTCTTTTTGAAACAGGGTCTCGCTATGCAGTTCAGGCTGGCCTTGAGCTCACTTTATAGCCCAGGCAGTTCTCAAACTCACAGCGATCCTTCTGCTTCAGCCTCCCTAGTGCTGGGATTACAGGCATGCGCCACCATGCCCATCTATTTAAAATTTTTAATGGTAGTAATAAGACTATAAAAAGTGATTGCCAGTGTTTTGCTGTCTGTTAAATATTTCAGCCTATTAAAATCTGGAATATACCAGTTCTTCCAAAAGCTGATTGATATTACTAGTAAGCTAATTATAAAACCAACAATTTTATAGTTATTCTCCCTAAAAATAGGGTTATTAATTTATTTCTCTCCAGGTAAGTTTTCAGTGAACATTTAGCTGAGGCCTGATGTTAAGTTTGTGCCTTAAATTGTGACCAAAAAAATTGAGTTTGGTTTACATTTATCAAACATACCCTTGTTTCAGCTTCTTTTATTATACCTCATACCTTATCTCAGGGAGATAAACATAATCATTGCCTTTTTCTGTAGCTGAATTGAGTAGTAAAAATTCACTGACCTCAGGACAGATAGTTAAGGTCAATGATTGTTTTTTTCTGTTTTTATTTTTATTAGTACATGTTTGTAATACATGATGATCATATTCCTTGTGGGGAGTTGGTAATGTACATAACACTTCTTAGTTCTTTTTTAAGGTCAGTGATTTTTAAACTTTGTATTCACTGGAATTACCATGGATACAGATAGGTACAGATCAGGGTTAGGGGGATAGACCAGTAGAATAGCATGTGCTTAGCATGCACAGGAGGCTTGTGTTTGATCCCCAGCACGGCAAAAAAAATTTCTTTCAAAAAGGCCGACGGTCAGGTTTTCCCAACATCCCCCCTCCGAGGATCTGGTTCAGGGTTCTGAGGTTGGGAGTGAGCAGGTGATTCCGATCCATATTCCCATCATCAGGGTATTCAAAAATTTATCAAGGGCTAGGCTGTGTTCTAGACACTTAAATTAGAATTTTGAGCGTTGGAACTTGGGTATTGATATTTCTAATGCTCCACTGGGGTTCTATGAGATATATCCAGCATGCGACATTGCTTTTCACTGTGCACTAGTTCTTGAATGCCTCTGAGAAACTTGTTAAAAGTAAAGATTTAGTCAGTCTTAAATGGGACAGAAACATCTGTAGTTTTCCTGGTGCTTTCTCAGTAGCTCCAATGTGCAGCCAGATGTGGATGGATTTTTTTTTTTTTTTTTTTTTTTTTTTTTTTTTTTGGTCTTTTTGAGACAGAGTCTTGCTATGCAGTTCAGGCTGGCCTTGAGCTCACTTTGTAGCCCAAGCTGGCCTCAAACTCGCAACGATCCTCCTGCCTCAGCCTCCCGAGTGCTGGGATTACAGGCGTGTGCCACCACACCCAGCAAAGCACACATATATTATACAACTGTTTTATTGAAGAGAGGGAGAATTCAATCCTGAATTGTGATTTTTCAATGTAAATTCTTCTGGCTTTCTTACTATATATATGTTAACTTACTTGTAAGTGATTAAATCATTTTAACCATTGTGGTAGGATATAAAGCACATATACAAATTGTACAAAACAGTAACATCATGTCAATAGTATGTCACAAAAGCAAATTCCCATACAACCACTACCTAGCTTAATAAATAAAATTTAAAGAAAAGGTGATTAGCAGTACCTTAGCAGATCCTGATGTGGATCACCATCCTTCCCACTCCAAAGGGTGACCTCTGTCCCAGCTTCCTTGGCAGTCACCTCCGTGCTCTTTTACTATTAAAGCTAAACCAGAGGACTGAGCCTTAGGTGCGTGCACAGCAGTAGTGAGGGCACCATCCACCAACGATGTGTGCAGTTGTTCAGTAATACTGACAGGAGCATTTTAACAGGCTCCAACAGCAAGCTACCGTAGTGTCTGTTAGGGTTAGCATGGATAAATGAATTGTGATAGATTAACATCATGAACTGTAACACAGCAATGAAAATTAAGCATCACAGCTACAGGTAAGCCATGGGTAAGTCTTACAAAGTAAAAGAAACCATGCACAAAATCTTTTCCTATATTTTCTTCCAGAAGTCCTACCCTTCATGTTTGAATGATCTGCATGGAATTGTTATTATTTATAATATGAAGTAAGGTCAAGATTTTTTTCTCTTTTTTCTCTTTAATAGAGCTATTCAGGTGACGCAGCATGATTTATGGAAAAGCTTGTGCTTTTTGTACTGCACTGTAATGTCATCTTTGACATGTCAAATGACTATGTATGGATCTCTTTATAGAATATTTAATCCATTTAGTTGTTCTTGCACTTAACTCCCGTTTTTACAATTTCTGTAGTTCATAATAATTCTTAATGATCTAGAATGTTTGTGTCTCCCCAAAATTCATATGTTGAAATCCTAACCCCCAAAGCGGTAGCATCAGAAGGGGAGTGTTGTCTCTGGAAGTCAGGTCATGGGAGTAGAGTCCTTGTGAATGGAATTAGTACCCGCTCCACCGTGTGAGGATGCAACCAGAAAGGTGC